AGAAGAGAGATCACGATTGCATCATGATTACGACTGATGGAAGTAGAGGAGATTCAGGTATCAGAGGACAAAAAAGGTAGTGAAGGTCCTGTAGAGGTGATGAGAAACTCATCTGCAGTTCCTAAGGATCCACAAGCTGAGAAATCACATCAAACGCTGCCATGCCTAGTATTAAAGAATATAAGCACTTACATTTTTATTTCTTCTATTTTTGAAAACCTCATCTCCAAATACCTAACTCTCATATGCAACACTCTAGGTAGTATGTAACTTGTGTTCATATTTGTAACTGAACTATATTTTAATTGTGAAGTTCCAGAATAACAGTGTTCCTATCAGCACCTGAGCAGAAGTCCTGCCCTTGCACAAACTTTGCTTATGCTTTCCTAGCTCATGATCAGCAGGATACGCAGGTGTAGTTCAAAATTCAATTCTTCCATTCTATCTTAGAAGAAAAACTTGTACAACATTATATCCATGGCAGAATTACCAAGATCAGCAGAGATTCCTTTTTACATTTAACACTCAAAAAACCCTTGTATGACTCTGCTGTTAAACCAACTAGTCTGGGAAATATCTATATAGCACAGAATCCCCCAGTATACAGATTTCCCCAAGCAGCTCGAAATATATTGAAACTGGAGAATAAATTGGCCCAGTGGACCCTTAGTTGTCACTAAAAAACCAGATTGTTTACAGCTAACTGGAGTATTTCCAATCTTCCTTGCAGTATGTAGTAAAGATATACCAAGCATTACTTGAATACCCCATAGCTTTTATCAGCATCACGACAATAACTACTAGGTACCAGTCAACACATGAAAACAAAAATGCTCCCCCTGCCAAAAACTAACCAGCCAACCAACCACCTCTGGCAACTGCAAACCTAAGAAAAGAACAGTGCATGCCTTCCCACCCGTCTTCCTCCTCTGACCCTCCTCTGTTCTCATTTCCCTTCTCTGTGTTTCTATATCATTTGAGAAATCTTGTTAAGGTAGCACATCTTATTTATTCGTTTACTTCTTAATCCCTAGTGTGGTAAATAATAAGCTTAATTAGTGCTCTTTCAGTGGTGCACACCTATTTCCATAGTTATCTGCCTTACACTTAATGAGAGGGTACCGCACATGCAACAATGCTGTGAGGCCAGCACGGTAGGATTTGGCTCTTGAAAACGGTCTGACCTTTAAAACTACATTGGCTGGCTACCATTTGGGGCACGTCTGTAAGCTCTCCAACCATATGACAGCAAACGTCTCCTTCAAGCTTGGGAAGTGCAGTGCTACCAAGCCAGATACATTCATCAGCTGGGTCACACTGCAGGGCTTCAGCTGGACCAAGTTACAGTAAGGCAGATGTGCCTCCATTTGGTACTCCCTTGTGACTGGGAATCCTGCAAACTTCACAGAGATTTCCTATCTGTTCAGCTGCCAAATGTATCAACTGGTGCTTGTGCGAATTGGCATATTACGGTTTTGTTTGGATGAATGGTTAGTGTTTAAAACACATTCCAGACAAGGTCCCTGGCAAACTATATGCAAAGATGTGCTTTGATTTTTCACATTTGTAACTGCATATCCTCCCCCTTGTTTTTCTACTAGACCTCAAGTTTCACAGGCAGTTAGTACGTTGGTCATTCATCCCCATTTCCTTCCCTGCTGTCCCTGAACTCATTAGCCTTCTGCATACAGCCTAAGTCCAGCATGACTTAAGTTAACAACTTAGTGTTTATTAGTGTAGTGCCTAGCAGTAAACTTCTGTGTTGAAGCTCGTACACAGAACACTATAGCAAATACACTTTCTCACAAAAATGCATCATCTTACACAAGCTGCACAAAAAAAACCTTCCACATTTCTGTATGATAAAATAGGTAGTCAGATCTCTAAAAACCTGCTTTCGATAATCCTGTGCAGATGTACCTATGTTAATCACAATGCAGCTACAAACCCATATAAACAAATAAGAACAAGAAGAATATAAGAAAGCGCAGATGTATTTTGCATTAAGTGTCAGGGGTCAGGTTAGAAGTTCAATACAAACAGAATGTTACTGTTGGTGATGTACATACGTTCTGTTTTGTACATTTTTTTTAATCTGTCTTCAGAGAGAAGTTCAGCTGAGAGGTTTTGATTTGAGGCTCATGGCTACACAAAGAGTGTAGCCACCCAAGGTCATGCAGCAAGTCAGCAGTTTAATTAGGATTTGATCTCAGAATTTTCCTGGCTCTTGGCTATTTGCTCTAACAAGCAGCTGGTACAACCTTCTAAAGATATTTATTTAGATGGTCAGCAGCCAAGAATGAAACCTGTTCCAGGCAGCTGGGTTCACCACTACTACTACTCTGTTATTCAGAAATCTAGATAAATCACCACATAATAAAGTGGTTGGATAGCAGTATCATATGAAGGGATTTGGGAGTTATAGTGGATTGCAAGCTGAACATGAATCACCACTTAGGTGTTGCACAAAGGGAAACACCATAGTGGGATTATAAGCAAAACTATGACCTGCAGGATACAGAAAGGAATCTCTCAGCTCAGCTCAGCTCAGCACTCGCAAGTCCTCAGTTAATTTAAGTCCACTTTTGGGCAACACACTTGGAGAGACATGAACCAATTTGAGAGAATCTAGAAGTGAGAAAAAAAATGATCAGAGACTGAGAAACACAGCTAACAAGAAAAAATCAAATGGAGAATTCTACCCGCTCTCCAGGCTGTGGTGAATAAGGGCAACAAGCAGAGGGATTACATTGCAACAAATAAAGTATTGCTTAGACAGCAAAGAAAACTTACAGAAAGCATAACAGTAGAGGGTTGAAACTGGTTCATTTGTGATCTATCCTGTTGTAATGAACACAGAAGGCACTGTATATCTGGAATAACATAGTTGCACTTGATTTTGTGGTTCTCTCCAGAACTGTAATATGCTGGAAATTACTGGTATGATGAAACCTTAATCGCCATTTATGTATTTCAAACACCAACCTGTACTTAATATCACCTCTTGGTGACCACTGATATTCACAAAGTAAGAAGTACTAGAAACTCAGTACCCATCTCTCTCTCTCTCACACACACTAGGGACTATGTCATCAAAGCACCCACGCAGAGCTGTTCTCTAGCTAGACAACACCCTTCCTGTACCACGTCTTAGGGTTGTTACATCCCACGCGCAGAATGGTGGTTTTGTGTTTACTGAACCTCATGGAAGTTTTTGTCAGCCCATTTTTTCATCCTGTTCATATCTTTTTGAGTGGCAGCCCTGTTCTGCTATGAAGCAGATCAACTATTCCACCCCATTTGGTGCCATCCACCAACTTGCCGAGGATTTAATCCCAACAAACAGGTCATTACTGAATACTTAAACAACCGTAGCCCTTTATTAGTATCAACTCCTGAGGAACATAACTTTTAACTTGCCACCAGCTGGACTTTGATCCAATTCCTGTTAGTTACTGGACGCCATAGGATCCATATTGCCTTAAGGTACCAACATGTGAGAAAGCGCAAGAGAACCTCATAGAATTAAGCATACTCTATCACTTACTCGGTGCATGTGCGCTCCCATGTATATCCCCTAACTCCTGTTCCCCCACACAGATACCCTTTGTGGGTGAAGAGACCAAGCCATAGCTTTAGTAACATGAACAGCTTTAGAGTGGGAAAAAAATACATATAATACCTTATTCAGAAACACCAAATCGGATGCCCATAAAGAAGAGGAATTAGGCTTCAAGTGATATTCTGCAAAGGTGTTGACACATAGTATGCCTTGACAGCCCATCTGGTAAATGTGGATGTCATTCAATAC